GGAGGCTGCCAGCAAGGGGTTCACGGGAGTCACAAAGAAGAAGGGTAAGAACGAGTGGGTGGCTAGGATTGTCCTCGACTGCACTTCCAATTCTCTGATTGTCATCAGCAGTCACTTTCAATCTGAGGTCGCCGTGGCCAGGTCAATAGCCGCAGCGTCTCATGTGATGTTCGTCGACAATCCCACAAGAGGCGATCTCATACCCTTGACGGGCGGCGATAGGGCAAAGTTACAGGGTTGTACGGCTCAGCAGTGTGAGCTGATGGTCCGTCAGAAGTTCTGGCACAAGTGGGAGCAGTGGGCGGAGTATTGGCCTGCTGCGAAGGCTAAGTATGACGAGAAAGAGCGCAAGGCTGCGATGAAGCGAGCGGCACTGGATAGGAGCTTGGGTCAGCCTGGCGGTCGGCCCGACAAAATGGCCAGAACGGTGGGTGAAGGCCTGTCACGAGGGGTGATAGGAGATAACGATGAGTGTGTGGGATCTAAGGATGAATAGGCTAGCGGGCATGGGCATTAGGTGGTAGTTTTGAGGTACCGCCGATGTCTAAAACATGCTACTTAGGGCTATGGTAGCGCACTGTGGATCATGTGTGGATATGACTTTTAGTGTGTGCTTACGTTTGCACCATAATATGGATTCCATTTTGAACCAAAAAATGACATACTATGGCCTCGTTTAGAAAGTGTCTATGAACGGTCAAGAAACACTGCATTTGCCAGTCCACGGCACGTAACAATTCAGTTGGACGCGTGTCGATGCCTCGCGAAGGTATTGTAAAGGTGCCGTGTGCATCCCACTGCCTTTGAGTAAACGTCAAGTGCAGTTGGCAATCCACGAACACCTCGTGAAACATCCGTGAGTATTTCGTCGCTTCAACGTACGCTGCTTGTCCGACAAAACGGCCAGTTAACGTCAAGTGAATGCATCGCGAAGAGTGCGTGGGGAATGATATGTAACAACGAGGGCGTCACTTGATATTCACAAAACACTAACCGAAAATCCACACGACAACAGTCAGCAATCCGCGATCAGCTCGTGACACAGTCGTGACTATTCCGTCGCTTCCACGTAAGACACACATGGGGGATGGAGGACGACCTAATCCCCGTGATAATCCCGCTAGTCAACAATGTGCAGTCTGCGTACATCCACTCAGACAGTCGTGAATACTCCGTCGCTGCCTCGTCAGATGCTTGTTTCGGCTTGTGGGAGCGTGAATAAAAAAGTGTGTTGCACATCTAACACAAACTTCGAATCGTGTATAAATAAAACCAGTATAACACTGTCTACCCCACCCACATAAATTGCCATGATAGACAGGCAGAGACTAAAAAGAAAATTAGGGTCTCTTGGCGACAAAGGTGTTCATTAATACAATGCTGCGATCAGATGTTGATCGACCCTAGGATCACCACAGGAAGGTCAGCACACAGTTGGTATGTAGTATTGGGACTTGGTCTCAATTCAGAGTGGATGTAAAATGATTGAGATAAATAAATACATGGAAACACAGAAATATGAATTAGAGTGCAACGGAAAACGCATCGACCTAGGCTAGCCATGTACTCATGAGTGTTAAGGGTAACGTCAATAGGTTACGAAAATTTAAGGCTGAATTGTGACAGTGCAAACCAGACGGGAGCAATCGAAGCATGCTGGACCCTGGGCAGCATATGATATGTATGTTGTGTAACGTGGGATTTACATTTTTTTTTATATAAACCTTATGCATTGTTTGTGTGAATGCCTTTGGATGTGTATACAAGTTTCGTCCACATAAAAATAGAACTACGTACATGCGTCCATATCGAAACGAATGTACAACTGTGGCCCCATGTTTGTGCCCGGACTACTTGGTGATCGTGACATCAACACTGAGCTTTGCTGCGTTTCTTGTGGATTGCACATTTGTACCCCATCCACTTTATTGTGTGATCATTCTGCTATGCATAACTGGTCAGATAGAGTTGTTATGTCTTCACGCACACAATCTACTGTTTGACAGAACGAGTACGTAGTAACTTTACGTGCCGCATGGTTGGGTTGAAATTTGAAGAAGGGAATGAACCATGAACTGTGTTACATTAACCCACACTCACGTGTGTTTGTGTATTCTGACATTTTTTATGCCAGATGTTCTATAAGAGGTACATAAAGTTGGAAGCCCGTGTTAAGAATTATTAACCCAATATAGGTAGCATACGGGTAAACTTAAATGATAGGGGCACACACCCTGCGTCGTGGAACCTTTTGTTCCCTAGTCCATTCAGTTTGTGTGATATGTTTGTATTCGCGAATAAGGGTTTCAATATTTAAAATGTTTGATTCCATTATTTGGAGTGTTCACCTCGTTGTTGGAATACTAGCTAGACTTAGGAGCCATGGCTAGTGAGTGTCGAGAGAATTGAGTGTCGAGAGAATTGGAAAGGAGAATTGAGGGTTTCACTAGCAAGAGTTGGGATACAAGTACAACACCCTAAATTGGGTTGTGCTCATTACAGAGTACCCCACTGCAGGCTAGACAGCAAATACATTCTGACACTCGTTGCATGTACTGTCGCGGATGTCACAGGGAAATCCTAGTGTGCATGAATCTGTCGATCTGGATGTCAGAAATTGAGAGCTCTTCACGCATTCGTCACGATTGAGCATCTGGACCTTGAACCAATCAGAGCATGACGCTTGGATCGTTGATATAGAAGTGATGGTTCGAGGCCATTCAAGCGATTTCCATGTCCCGTCACAAACCCCCCGTGAACATCTCGTCATCGGATTATCCAACATTGGCCAACTGTTCCTGTGATGCTCGTTGCGTGCTTGTCAATCAGAGTTAGCAGTTATGCTCGTCCATCACAACCTCCAGCTCCCAAAGCTCAGTATATCTGCAGGGCATAATTCCGTGAAGGCATTCAGGCACCCAGCGACATTCATGCGCTTGCATACTCCACAATATGCCGAAGAACGGAACCCGGAAAAGCAGTCGTCTCAGTGCGGCGAAACCTAGTCATGCTGCGGTGACAGCGACGGCTTCTATGGTCAACGAGCAGCAGCCAACACAACACCAGCAAAACGGCCCTGATGTGCAACCAATTGGGGACGGAGGACCGGTGGTGACAGACATGGCCGCGGAACTGCGGAACCTCGGTGCCCGCCTCGGTGCTGTTGAAGCAGACATGGCAAATGTGAAGCACATTGTTGGGAGGACTCACGACATATGTGACCGGATGGCCTCAACGGTTACGGCCATGTTTGGCAACTTGAAACAGTCAGCGGGTGGTTAAGGGAATTCGCGTGACGTGCCGGTTCCTTCTGAAAACTGTGCGGGTGACGCGGTTGTTGAGACTCCGATAGTTCCCCGCACCACGAATAAGAGTTCCAAAGCGGTGCGCAAAGAGATTAAGTCCGACTACGTGGGCGTCGCAAAGAGGCCGTGGAGCGGCTGATGGGTTGCAAGACTTGTGTGCGTTCCAGCGAAAAACGGGCATCTGGTCATCGGCAGTCAGTTTGGGACCGAGTTAGACACGGCGAGATCACTGGCAGCAGGAGCACATGTGCTATTTGGTCCAGACGCCGTGCCAAGAGGGGAGATCGTACCACTCACAAATATAGACAAGGCGAAATTGAAGGGATGTGACAAGACCACTTGTTCGGCAATGATTCGTCACAAGTTTTGGCACAGGTGGGAGGACTGGGAGGATGCATGGGATGACTGCGAAATCAAGATGGGAGAAAAGGAGCGCAGGGCTGCAAAGAGACTGGCCGCGGTAGTGAATGTCTCATCTCGGACAGACAGTCGACGGTTGCGCAACGACGGGACACAGAAATAGTTGCCATCAACACGGGGTCGTTTATTTGTGATGATTACTATATTTGTTCGGTTCCGTAGAGGTCTGGGTCCGTATTGTGTGAGCTACTAAAACTGCCTGTACCGCTGTCTGTATGGGTGTCCCTGGGATTTGACAAATGTTGCATAATTTTTCGAGTAGCTGACGTTTGTGCTAGGTTTGTAATGTCACCGATTGATTGGTACTGCCTACTATCCTAACTACCAACCCAACTTAACGCATACACACAACCGCATTGGCACTCTAAGATGATTAATGCCTGCAGGCATGTTGAACATAAATGATGCTGTGTAGCAATACAGTTACGAGATATACGATGTTGAGACGAGCGCATGTTCTAGCCAATGCCATGCCATTGACTGGTAGTTCACGGGTTAGTGACGGAGTAGTTCGTTCTGTGCGCGCCAAATCGGACCGTCCCGAAGCACTCGGTTACACTTCACGGACATTCCACTGGCCTTTCACAAGCCATCTACAACGATCGAATATAATGCGACGACGTAATTTGCCACCGGCTATCCAACCGCTAGAAATGTTACGGTGTGTTCACGGGCCATTCGCGAGGGCCTGGTAAATGATCATCTATGGTCTCGACTGTGGCGATTCAGTGGCGTTGCATTCCCAACGAGTTCACGGGACCCTGGACTTTGACGTGAACGTTTGTTCACGGGATATTGACAAATTGGTGACGGGAACTTTTACCCTGCTCCTAACGATCGGGCCACGGCGCTTCCAGTGTTGGTCCCTAAACCCGTCACGGGGTTTTCACGCTAGGTTGGCGTGCTCGTCAGCCTCAACCTGCACTCTACTGGATTTTATTGTGTATATCAATCATGCTAATACAAACATAAGCCTATGAGCCCAGTATCAGTTATCCAACACTAAATATTCTGCACTACCCAAAGTGGTTTGAGAACACCTACTACAGAGACTACTCTAACTCATTGAGACGCTATTGTAGCTATATAAACCCTGGAATGTTCAAATCACGCCCGCGCCAGGTGCAGCCTCCTGATGGGGTCTTCGCGACTTTGGGCGCTTACGGTACCTCCTCTTCTGCGGAACAGCGCTGCCACCGTACTTCCCCATGCAACGGTTCTTGTTGTGACCGTGCATCTTGCAAACGCTGCACTTGTATGGATGCACGGCCTTCTTTACGCGAGCGTAGCTCGGGGGGCGGCCGGCAGCGGTGCGGCGAAAGGGCGGAGCATCACACACGCCTGGGGGGGGCAGCCTCTTCTCAAGGATGATGCGGTCCACACAGGACCCCCGCACCGTTGAAGAGTACGTCTCTGCCCAATTCTTTGTGGTGTAGAAATCAGAGACGAGAGTGCGGGGGTCTAGCTTCCGCTTCACAGCAAAGGCCACAGCATGGGAGCACGGAAACTGGTATTGGTCCCAGTTTGTGCAGTCGCATGTCTTCGCCGCCAAGTTGACATTGAAGGACCTCCATTCTTTGGGATCATCGGTGTCCCTGGTCTGGATGGTTCCTTCTTCATGGTCCCCGCCCAACAGCTCGTACCCCTCCGCCCGTGTCTCCTTCTCCACCATCTGTTCCTCGGCTGCCTCTGTCAGGAGATCAGTTCGCTCGAGCGCCGCCATCTTACGTTCACAATACCTATTGCGATACCAGTCCATGAGACCCCCTAGCATCGGGGTCACCGGCAAGCGCCGAATGGGCACGATGGAGCTGTTGACCTGCTCAGCCGCGTTGCTGGTGAAGATCCCGAAGCGTCGAGTGGGGGCCTTAAGGCGAGTCCAGTGGACAAGGTTGATGCCCAACTTCTTCCTTGTACCACGCTTGTTCTGCCTAAACCCGGTCCGCACGTGTGTGGTGTGGTCCCCATCCGCGACACCGGAGTCTGGAGTGTTGTCATCGTCGTCCACGCCAGCCTCTGCCTGCACCCCCTCTGCTGTGGCAGGTGCTTCCGCATCTTCTGCATCTGCCTCCTCTGCATCTGCCTCCTCTGCAGATGCATCCTCCTCATCGTCCTCTTCAGCATCGGCCGCTGTGTTAACCCCGGGGTTGGCACTGCCGACATCTGGCCACGGGTGATCCAAAGAGACCAGGACCAATGCCTGGCAGATGCTTCCCCCGTTGGGTTCCTCTGCATCCTCAGCCGGGTTTCCGTTCGATCCAGTTGCACGTGGCAGGTCCGTACGGATGGAGCTGGGGATGTAACCTGTCCTTACACGTCTCAGGATGCGTGCATAATCGAAAGGTTGTGCAGATGCAGGCGTCGATCCAGACGGACGAGCTGGCGGCGAGTTGGTGGCAAGGGACTCGGCCGGCTGAGCCATAGGGTCAGCAGTGCTTTCAGTCGATGGCTCTGGTTCGGTCGGTGTGGCTCCCGCCGCGCTGGCGTCTTCCGCACCACGCCCATGCGCACGTGAAGTAGTGCCGCGACCCATGGCGGCACGTGCTGCATCACGACCCTGGTGACGATTCTCGGCTGCTTGTTGACGTGCCTCAGCTGCTGTTGTGGGAGCTGGACGTTGCTGCTCACTTGCATCTGCAGGTGAGGTGTCCGAGATCGGCTTCAGAATGCCAAGGAGATAATTATCCATTGGTGCAAAGTCACGCCGACAGGCCGCCACCAAAGCGTCCCATTTGTCGTCAAGCCTGCACTTCACAAGACGCCAATAGAACAGAGCAGCGGCTTCTCCAAACTTGACAACATTCTGGTGAAGATGCCATGCACAGAAGTAATGGGGTATGCCAAGCGGGAGAACATCTCGTGCAGCCGGAAGCAAACCCTTGTCGCGGTCGCTGATGATGGATGCGTCGCCACGGTGCGGCCACTCCGGGAAGCTCTTCAAAAAGTTCTGCAGAAACCAACTCCACGAATCCTTGTTCTCTCCTTCGACCAAAGCCCATGCCAGCATTGTAATCTTCTGGTTGCCGTCCTGTACCACGGCAATCAGAAGGGTTGCGCGCTGTGCACTGATGAGGAACGTTCCGTCTAATGCAACAACGGGGCAGCAAAAACCAAGCGCACCGCGAGAAGCGGACGGCTGTATGTACATGCGGTTGAAACAACCGTCGACCGTCTGAATCAAGAAGTTTCCATCCGGGTCTATCTCCCGGAACCTATCAGCCAACGCGGGGAGCAACCTGAACGACTCTTGCCAATCCCCGTACATCTCCTTCTGGATTTCTTCACGCAGCCGCCATGCCTGCTTGTAACTGATCTGGAACTTGCTGTGGGACGTGAGAATCTGCTGCAAAATCTTCGCCGAAATAAACGGTGCGCCACGAACAAGGTTGCCCCAAAGCCGCTTCATGACCTTCACACTATTGGCGATGGCGTTTGCTCCTTGCTCTCGCTTGTACTTCTTGCAGACGTGTGATTCAGGAGGGGAGAGCGATGTCACCATCCAGAAGCCGCCATGAACAATCCTGCTGTAACTACACTCCCAGGGGCATGTTGGCTTTTGTCCATACATGGCGGTTTTGCATTGGAGAATAACGTGCGCGCCCGCCACTTCCACAGTCGTGAATCCAAAACGATGATGCAACGCGTGGGCCTGCACAGCCTTGAGGGCCTTATCCCTCGAGGAGTAGATACCTCCTTGCCTCAATGTGGCATTATCCTTAGGAGCTTTTGGTCGGCCACGGGCTACGGGGGGAACGTTTCTCATTGCCTCTAGAATGTTATTCGCTAACCGCTCCGCGCATTCCCTGGGTTCCGACATGGCAGCTATTGAGGAGTAAAATGATAGTGGAGCACCTTATGGCTGAGCTTGGTACTTACGGGTAGACACAACCGTGAGTAGATGACTGAACAACCATGATGGCCTCGTTATTTTCGCACGAATGTGAATTCAAACGCGGGAAATTCAGTGCGATTGAATCGCTGCGATGTGGTCCTACTGAACTGGTTCACGGGGCAGTCGTCAGACCTCTACAGTGGCCCGTGAATTGTAAAAACTGAACACGCGCAAAAAATTCCGATATGAGCCGTTAGAGCTGTTATACGGGCCACCCGTGTGCTTGTTACGGGCCACACAGAAAGCGTTAGTCGCGGGAAAACTGCGTGCCCGTCAAACAAGTACTGTACTTCCGCGGTTGAGGGAAAATATCAGCGTGAAATGATTGTTTGCACTGTTCCGAACGTGTTTCCTGGGTGGCGTAATGATTATTCAGGGAAGTCAGTTGTATTTCTAGCCTGGGGCAGAAACCTTTTGTGATCGAAAAAACTCGTAAAAACCTACAAAATGACTATTGATGGCGAAAACTGACCACGGGAATCGGGCGCGATCGCGTGGCAGGAGGCCTGTAAAAACCACTGCCCGTTGGAATTGAAGACGAGAAAGCACGGCGCTTCGTCATTCCCTCCGGGAGAGGGGAGGGGAATACGCGTTAGAGGAGTTTCGTTATGCTGCCTTTACGGCTGATGGCAGGTCATCAGAAAAATGTGAAACTCCGCAGAATGGATGGGGGGGGGGGGGGGGGGGGGAGGGGGGGAGGGGGTCATTTTTCGAGTTCGGGGCTGGAGGTTTTCGATCGTTGATGAGGTGATATTTGGTGAGTTTTTTTCCCACCAGTTTACCATCGTGTATGACTAGGATATTGCAGCAGATTGTCGAAGCCTCTTCTGGTCATTTACGACTACCCCCTTCGATCCCCATTTGTCTCTATTTGCAGACGCGCACTGCACACGTGGAGGACAAATCGTGGTTGGAGGTGGTTTACGTGGAGTTTCTGGTTGGGTGGTTTCATGCGTTTTCATTGGTCATTGTTTTGCTGGTTGAATTTGCAATAGATTGCGCTATGTCTGGAGCGTTTGCCACACACCGATTGTCTTTTGGCGAGGAAACTGTTGGTGGTCATGGCCACGTCTTTGAAATTTAGGTTACCGCTACGTAACGAATTTAGAACATTTCAAACACATCATTGTTTCTGTTATGTATTTCATGTAATGGAACTAATTCTATACTGTTGGATTTGATAGTAATTTTTCAGAATGTGATGTTGCTTACTTTGTGTAGGCTATAGTGGGGTAGCCCGTAAGGGGTACAACCCAATTAGGGTTAGTACCTGTACCCAAATTTTGCTCAATGCATTCATTCTCATTCGTTAGTTTGACATGGTTTCTGAGCAGGTCCTTCGTTAGTACCGGTTTTTTTTTTAGGGCCCACCACAGCGCTGCCCCACTAGCCGCCCTGCTGGCTCACACGCCACCCTAAGCAGCCCTCGTGCTGCACCTGCTGCCCCGCGCGCCCGTCCCTCGCGGCCCGCCCGTCGACCCTAGTGTTGGGCTGGTAAAAGCCCTTAGGATCTTTTCAAGGCTAAGATCTTTTGAAGTAGGAATGTTGTAGTTTGCGGAAGCGTAATAAGAGAGTTTACTGAACCACCTTGCACTAGTGTGTGAGAACAAGATAAGTTGATAATAGCAGAGAGATACAAGGATTTTATATGATTACAAAGGAATATGAAAGGTTTTACTTTAACTATTTTTGCTGTTGCGGTTCGATACAGCGACGACTCGGGTAACTGCTCAATATCGAGTCAGTTATGTGTCCTTGCTGTCGCGCTGTATTTTTTGTCAAGTCAAAGGTCAGCGACCTTTGACCTTCGCGTAACCTCTAGCTGTTAGTTTTGTTGACTCGCGTGTTGCTTCGCTGTAGTCTCCTTCGTTTCGTGTCGATACTTCGATTACTTCAGAAGCGTTAACTTACTTGTTTCCAACACTCCCCTTTGCTTCTGGAGTGTCGCTGCTGATGACGTGTCCTTGTCCAGTCAGCAGCATGCAGTACTCGAACTTCTGTTTTCCGAATTTCTTGATCAAGTAATCGGCTGCCATCTCGAATGTGGGACAGTAGGATAACTCGAGTCTTCCCTTCTCGATTTCGTCTTTTACGAAGAAGTACCGGAGGGCGATGTGCTTCGTTCGATTCGCGAACCCATTTTTGTTCGCTATGCGAATGGTCGATTGGTTGTCGCAGAAGAGGGAGAAGCTGGGTAACTGAGCCAATTTTGCTTCGTCCAGCAATTCGCGAAGATATAGTCCTTCCTTGGTGGCTGAGCAGAGTGCGATGTATTCTGCTTCGGCTGAGGAGAGAGCGATTAGCTCTTGCTTGTTTGACTGCCATGAGATAGGGCCGATAGGTTCGAGTCGGTAGATGTAGCCAGTACGAGATCGCCTGTAGTTAGAGTCTCCAGCATGATCGGCGTCGACGCAACCGATTAGTTTAGGTGTCGTAGTTCTGGTCTTGTGGTAGGTTTATCCGATTGTCGGGGTGCTGACGAGGTAGTGAAGTGCACGGTCAAGCTCCATCATGTGTTCTGCTTCAGGCTTCTTGAGGTAGGTGGCGAGTTGACTAACTGAGTAAGATAGATCCGGTCGACAGGTAACAGCTGCGAAGAGTAGACAACCTAGTTCTCGTTGGTAGTCGCGAATGCCGGCGGGTTTGAGTAGGGCGGAGACTTTGCGATTTCCGTCGGTGTAACGGTATGGCGTGGTGATGGCAGTTGGAGTTAGTCCGAATCGTTTGGCGATGGTGTCTGTGTATTTTTCGGCGCTGAGGTAGATTGCGTTGTCGCCGTCTTGTATGTTGAGTCCCAGGTACTGTGTCACGGTAGTCGCGACAGTGAGTGTGAGATCCCTCTGCAGCTCCCCTTCGAACCGGGTCGATATATCGTTGGTGGAGCCTATGTAGAGGAGGTCGTCTACGTAGACGATGAGCAGGATGTAGTTGGTCCCCTCAGTGAGTCGGTACATCCCTTGGTCATGCGGTAGTTGGCAGAATCCGATGCGGATTAGACGGGCGTAAAGATGCTGCTGCCATAGTCTCGGGACTTGTTTGATGCCGTACGACGATTTTTGTAGCTGGCAGACTTGGTTGGGGTCTGCATTAGACCCATGTGGGTGTTCAACGGAGATCTCAGTATCGACAGGGCCGTAGAGGAATGCGTTGGCAACGACGATTTGTTGAAGTTTCTTCTAGTTCATGGCGGCTATCGCGAGGAGAATCCGCAGTGAGGTATGTCGGCTAACTGGTGCGAATGTTTCCGTGAAGTCTCGTCCATGCTCTTGGTCGAAGCCGCGCACGACCCATTGTGCCTTGAATTTGTCTATCGTTCACTCGGCTTTTGTTTTCACGCGGAAAACCCATTTTCCCGTGAGAATGGTCTTGTTGTGTGCCACTCCGATAGGCACGAATTTCCAAGTGTTGCGTTCTTGCAGCGCTTTTAATTCTCTGTCCATGGCTTCGTGCCATTTTTCCCTGTGTTCCCCCCCCGGAGCCTGCTGAATGTTGGCAGGCTCATTAGGTGGTGCTGCTCCGTGGTCGGCGGTGATGAGTCCTAGTATCTGAAGTCCAATCTGTGTGTAGCGGGGGAGATTTGCGTCCTCGGGATAAGCTACTTCATCTCCCGCTTCTGGATCCGGTAAGAAATTGGGTCCTATGCGTTCGGAGACGTTGGTGTCGACCGGTTGTGGTGTAACGTAACCGTTGTCGGCGAAGTCGAAGTAGGTTTCAGCGTTGACTCTTTCGCGAGGGTTGTCATCGTCCATGGGAATGTCTACTGAGCAATACGGAAGAGGTCCGGCTGTGTCACAGGATCGAATTTCCACTCGAGAATGTTTCACTAAAGGTGAGTACAAGGCGTATTTATACATAGAAATACATAGAAACAACAGATAATCCGAACCTTCGGGAACGCGCTCTTCTAGAATAGATAATCACAAGTGCGCATAAGCACGCAAGCCCATTGGCACTTTGGATTATGGCGATATTACGCCTTGTACACCACTGTCGGTGCTGTCGGTGCCGTATAATGTGAATGTCGGTGCCGAAAATACCAAATAAGTGAAATAATTGGAAAGCTCTAGAAAATAGAATAGTAGTCCGATTGAGGTGAAATAAAGTGCAAATGAAAGAGGAAAATAAGAAGAATAAGATGGAGAAAAAATATGGAAATGAGAAATATGTCGAGCGTCGGCGTACCTCACACTTCCCCCCCTCAAAGCTGGGTGGTAGATGTAACACCCTGCTTGACAAGATAGTCGCGGAGAGAACGTCGGGCGTTACTCATGTCTTCTTCAGAGACCCAGCTGTCCTCAGAAGGATCATAGCCTTTCTAGCGTACGAGAAACTCCAGGGCGCCATGCCGACGACGACGATGTGTAAGCACAGATTCAACCTCGTACTCAAGTTCATCATTCACGAGGACTGGAGGCGGCGGCGGAGGTTGGCGTCCCGTGTACAACTTATTTGGATCTTGATAGGGTTTAAGAAGCTGCACGTGGAAGGCGTTATGAATCTTCCAAGAAGCTGGTAGGCGCAAGCGGAATGTGACTGGAGTGACCTGCTCTTCTACGAGGAAAGGTCCGCAGAAGCGAGGTCGTAACTTGGATGGAAGGTGACCGAGGTTGAGGTTGCATGTGTCGAGAAGCACATGGTCACCAACCGCAATGGTATGATCACGTCGATGGCGATCGGCCAAGCGTTTCTGTGAAGACTGTATTGTTATAGTCACAATAGGCTTGAATGTGCCTAAAACGAAAGATAGAGAGCACAGACGGATTTCTGCACAGCGGCTTCAAACGTTGATAGCGTTCTGCTCACAGCTGCAAATGACTTGATTCAAATTGGATCTGGAGCGTCTTTACGTCGTCTACAATTAGTTAGATTGC